CGTCTTCTTTACCGCGCTTTTCGAGATCGACTCTACGCTGGCGCTGACACCGTGCTCACATGTGAGTGAATTTGGTGTTCGCTCATCTTGACAGCATCTACATTTGAGCTATAAATGGCTACAATGTACGTTTGGCTGAAATTGAGAGAACATATACCGGCACTTTAGATAACGGCAAAGTGGACGCTGTAAAATGACCACATTTAAAATGAAATTTACAGCACTACACTGTGGTTGGTAGAAGTAGCCAACTGCCCCTTATAATTCATCGATTAATTAAGTCTTCTTTCCCCATAAGATATTTGGAGAGGATGACCATCCAGGACAACAATTTCCCAACACATATGTGTGCGGCATAAGAGCAATCATTAAATAGCAATTCGACCATGAAAATTGCACTCAATCTCTTCGTGATAGCTTGTAAAGTATTGCTCTTATTGCTTACAGATACACCCGGTAATAAATGGGACAAGATTGTCTGCGGAAAGGGGTCGGTCTGCTGCTGTTCGGTGATTTTCATCCCAATCCTGCTCATCTTTGCCGCCATTATTGCAGTTCTGCTATTCGTGTTGACGTCCGTATCAGGTTTGTTTACGACTCTTTGAACGTTCAAATTTTCTCTGTTAATCCCTTGAGATCGTGGTTCCTAAGAGTGTTCACTGATAAAATGACAATATGAGTAAAATGTTTTGTGCTTTAAGAATTTAGTAAGTGGGAAAATCTACCACTTATCTTCAGGACAAGAATTGGCAGCATCTCGGTCAGTGTCACTGATTATGCAACTGACTTTTCAAATTGTGAGTCCCTCAGTCCTCACCCAATAGCTCCTTCACAGGAGAGATTGTCGAGCTGAACTGACTGTCACACTGTGGACAACGGAAGACAATTAGGTCCATGAGAAGATGAATTTTTATCCATTTTGAAATACCTTCTGTTAAAGGCGAGGCCTGTATCTACGTCACACGAGAAACAGGTGTGAACAAGACTGACTTCGTGGTGGACGGATTGTTGGCTCGGCGATGGTCGTCCATTGTCGGTGGGTCGGTTGGAGGAGCCAACGACTTCCTCAACACCCCACCTCCCAAACACGTGCTCCACGCCCTCACCCAGAGCTGTCGTGGCAGCACAAAGCAGTCATCCCAACGTGGCCTCCTGTCTGCTGTGGGGTACACCAATCTGGTGGATGTCTCGAAATTGGTTAATAGCGAACAAGTGCAGCATGGAATCGCCGAAGGAAAGAAGTGCGTTCCTCATTATCCTTACATTTTTGTGGTGGAGTTTGCTTATGAAATCTAAGCACCTTCATTCACTTATCGATACAGTGATTAAACATGCATGCATGTTGACAGTGCTTTCAAATTGACATATATTTTCCCACAACGTGTCCGTAATTTGTGCAGGTATTCTATGTCATAATGCTTATCGTGGTAATTTGAAAAATTTATGCTCAAGTTTCTGTAAAACCTGCATGCCAACCCCAATTACGCAGCAGTTCTTCACGATTTGGCACTTCTACTTGATGCAAGTACTCAGGAATTGCGCATTATCACTGCCGCCATGTTACTTTTGAATTAGTGTGATCGTGAGGGTTGCGTACACGCGTGTGACTGATGAAGCATGTTTGGAAGACGATGCGTAGTAAGATGATGCATAAACCATCGCGCAATTTTGACTTGATCGCTCTAGAAAAATAAAACTTTAACGATACTTGAACATCTTGAGACGACGTTTTGCTTTCTCTTTTTTAGAACTGTTCGTGATGAGGTAAAAAATCTAAAGATTTCGTCGAAACTGCCAAGTGAGAGTGAATTGGGTAAAGCACAAACTGATCTCGAGAAGGCAATTAATGATCTTAATCTAAATGTGAGTTTAACTTTTAATAATGTCATTGATAATTTAATTCACTTCAGGTGGTATAACAGTGTTTAAGCATAAATATATTTTGCGAAAATAAATCATTTCTGGAGCGACGCTTGTGAAAGATGCTGACTCTGACAGTGGTTGCCGGTTCTCGTCAGTTTAAGCTAACGTTTGTGCGTTTCTCCTTTCAGGTACTCATCAACTCAACGAATTCAAACCTACTGGATTCTGCATCTATTGAAAAGCTTATCACCCAATTAAAGAATTTTTCGAAGAACCAAAGTTCAGCAGCTAACTTTACGAAAGGAATCAACACCCTGGAAGAAGTAGTCGTTCATATGAAAGATCTTCAACCGAAAATGAACAGCACACGCGGTCATCTTGAGAATGTTAATACAGAGAAAAATAAAATTCTGCCACCTGTTAAAGGATTAGTAGAGGCTTTCAATGCAACCATTAAAGTAAGTTGACATTTTATTAATGCAGCTACTTTTGCCGGTGGTGCTCCTGATGGTTGCTTGACAATAATCACTGAACTCGTTTAAGAGCCTAACTAGTCTTCTTCCATCGCATTGATAAAAACATGACTTAATCCGCAGTTGCTGATCCACCTTAAAGCAGCAGGCGCACGCACACAAACGTCACTAATTGCTCTGGCCCGGATGGGGTCCTAATTGAATTGTCTAAGAGGCATCCTTTTTTACCAGACCGGAAGGTGATTAGTTCCTAGTTGGTTGCATTTAAAGCACAAAATACTGAAAACCATAGACGTTTTTGTTTTGGTTTTAAGGTGAGCCATATGGTAGAAGCTGAAGACTGGATTAAACTTGCCAATAAAGCAGGAAAATTTCATATTATCGGTAGTTAGATATCACTGTTAAATGCGAGAAGAGTCCAACAATTACTGTACAAAGATGCGCAGTGATAGCGCCAATCTACTTCATCAGGTGACCACGCGAACATGGATTGTGAAATACACAAACACAGCCTTTCACAACTCCTTTTACCCAATTTAGACTGCTAGCAATGAATCTAAATTGACAGTTGAAGTTGAAAATCAGTACGACAAGGTGATCAAAGGACTACTTGAATTCATGGAGAATGACGATGGTGTGGCATTCTCCAAGCTCACCCAGGAACTCTTCCCCTGTGAGGAGGCCTACCGAGCAGTCAATGTGGCACTGGCTGTGTCCTGTGGTGACGAGGGCGCCCTCAATCGATTCGTCGGTGTGGTCTACGTCCTCGCACTCACCGTCCTCTTCATCTGCTTCTTCTACTTCTCCCTCTTCAACCTCGCCTTCATGCAGGCCATCCAGATCCATCGGCTGTCGTCCTCGGAACTCGAAGACACCAGTACCGACTTCGGGGACGACGACGACGACGAAAGCGAGGACGAAGATTCCAACTAAAAAGATCTAACAAACATGTGTATATCTTGTTGTATTTTTTAATTGAACCCTCAATATCTTGCCAGACCATTAGAGTGTAAAATATTGTTTTGTAATTGTCAGTTGTTTTCAATGCAACAAAATGCTAACAAATTATTTAGCTCCTAGCATACATTCGTCAACGAGGCAGGACGAGTCATCGCAAGAATGAGCACTGTTTCTGACGAGTGTACAGCGAATGTCGATCAACATTCAAATCAAAATAACACTATGTTTTCCAAACTGGGGCGAAATTAAGCATGCACTAATATTGAGAACTTGGGCATCCACCGAGGATTATACAGTCTTAGTCACAATTGTTCCAACTGTTTGAATGTGAAAATGCAGTCTCAGGGGTCTGATTAAAAAACATGATAATATTTTGAAACAGCTGGTTTTGTGTGGCACATGTTCGTTAA